ATTAAACTGATAAATTGTTAGCATTATGTAATTAGTCACGCATTTAAACAATACTATATTAGATAATTAATTCAAATTAACAAAATTATATTCTAATTTACACTGAAATCCAATATGTTGATGATTGTATACAAAATAATTTTATTTTAGCTATTCATTAGCACAAACTAAAAATTTACTTAATTTTTAATAATTTTCTGGAGACAAAGTACAAAAAGTGTTTATAATAAATCATTAATTTGCCTAATGATTTTGCTAATTGATAAACTAAGATGACAATCTTTATTCAAGCAATGTAAATTTCACTCTCACTTCTGCTAAAGGATGTTCAATTCATTATTATCTATTAATTGATCTGACAGATTAATTAATTAATGAGTTTTTCATGTTTTGCAGAGGATTTCATGGCCATTTAAATCTTCCATATGGCAGGTTATAGTACAGAAATTTACTTTAATTCTCTCTCATATTGTTAATGTAATTATTATACATATTATTTTATGTTGAAAGTATTAGTTTAATATGACTTTATATCATTTATTAACGAAAAAGACTTAACTAAAGAAGTTCTGATGAAAAATTTATAATATTTATCAGTATGTTTTAACAGGTGATCAAAATATTACAGACTGAACTATTTTAAATAAATAAAAAATAAAATTTTATTTTTTTAGAAAAACAAATTATTAGAAGACAATTTCATTTGTAACTTTTTATTTTTTAAAAGTATTTATAAGATTAAATAGCTTTGAACACGCAAAAAATTTAGATTATGCTTTTACTTTTATTTAAAGTTAAATGAATCAAAGTAAGTTTAAAATAACATTAATTTTTCTATTTTACAGATAAATTAAAAAGCAATTCCCATAAGAATTACTCCACTCTAAATAATTTTTTCAGTCGACAAATCTCAAAGAAATGAACACTTATTAAATGAAACAAATTATTCCAGAAATAGATAACAATATCTATAATAAAAGATTACAAAAAGAAAAAAAAACATTCAAACTAATAAAATTATTATTAATAAAAACACAAAAATAACTAAAAGAAAAAGGCAATTCTTCACAGACCAATGAATAAAAACTATTAGCTTTATTATATAGTTTATGTAATTCCATTTATAAACTCCTCCGAACCGTTGCACTCAAACGATCAAAACAAACAGTAACGTTCTAAATAAATAATAATAAATGTTACAAATATTTTAAAAAATGAATTACAAAGTTAAAATAACATTTTAAAATATCTATCTAACAAGCTTAAAAAGTCCAATTCTAATGTTATGATATTACTGATCATATGGGATATCATAGTAGTTTTCTCACATATATAAAAAAAATGTATACATACTGAATATAAATTTATATTTTCAAAATATTTATAATTATCTTCAAGAAATATATCGTGAAAATAAATTTATACTTTCATTATATTATGGATATAATTTACAATACTTTATAAAAGTATTCTGATGATTTTTCTATAAAATTATAGTTTTATGTATTGTATTAACATTTATCTTCTTTATGAAATTACTTATTAAATTACGACTTCCATCTTTAAGATTAGAAAATGTTGATAAATAACTTAATTCTGGAAACTCTTTTGGGTTACTTATATTAGACTTTCAGTTTTAAATAAAATTAATTTGTTATTTCTAACAGCTACACTAGCAAATTAATCTATTGTATAATTTTAATTAGTATTAATTTTACCTAGACTAATAGCTTCAATTTGCACGAAATTATTAGTGAGATTAAATGCACATTTTTCAGTCAATAAAATAAAATCAATGGCTCTAAATTATAGCTGAATGAAGACCTAAATCTGTGCTAATTTATTTGCTAATTGACATTATGTATCCAACTGAAATAACAAAACAGAAACTTCTCTATCAGATTCTATGAGTTGTCCTTATTACCAAAAAAAAGTTCATAACAAAAATATTTCTGATTTTCAAAAAGTAATAATTCCCTATTGCCAACAGACAATTGCAAAACTTCCAAAACCACCAAGAAACATTTAATGTGAAGAAATACTAAAATATCTTAGCTTATTGTTGTAATATTAAAATAACTTTTTATTAATAAAATAAATGTATGTTCGATGATATCTGTCCTATTTATATTACATTAGTATTCATTTTAAAATTAAAAACCAACTATTTATATTTTGTGTAATAAAAACAATATTCAATTATAAAATATTCTCAAAAATAAGCCAAAAAAATGTAAATACATTTAACTCTCAACAAACTTTCGTCATTAACATCAGGAGAAGATTTGTAATTATACACTCATTTAAAATTAGATAAAACATAATTATTAACATTATTAGATTTAAAATTAGATATGAATATTGATTACATACATAAAAAGTATAAATTCAAAAGAACCTTTAAAAATGTATTTTTGAAATCACAATTTAAGAATTTCAAAACAACTTAATACTAGTTAAGTCTATCGGAAACATCTCAAAAAATTTGTGTAAGATATACACTGAGTGGCCAAAAAATTAGACACACCTTTTATTTGAAAGTAAATCAGTCCGACAGTGATGTAGAGTGACGTAACAATGCAGAGTTGTTTATATAACGTATGTTCAGCTTCGGACGTTATCATGGAAGTTAATGTCAAAATGGGTAAGACAAAAGATTTAAGTGACTTTGAACAAGGGATGATCATTGGTACAAGAAGAGCTAATGTCATTATTTCTGAAACAACAACTCTTTTAGGATTTTTTCACCCAACGGTATCTCGGGTGTTTAGAGAGTGGCATTTGAGGAAAAAAAACTTCAAGCAATAAGGAGAATTCTGGTCGAAAAAGGCTGGTGAACGAGAGGTGAAAGGCGATTAGCATGCATAGTCCGCAGCAACAGAAGGACAACAACATAACAAATTACAGCTGAATTCAATGCAGGTGCATCACAAAGCATATCCCAACGCACAACAAAACACACTTTTCAAAGATGGGCTTTAGCAGCAGGAGACCATCAAGAGTGCCTTTGGTATCACAGAAAAATAGGAAAAGGTGCCTGTTATGGACCCAGGAACAATGAAATTGTTCACTTGAGGACTGGAAAAAAATAACCTGGTCTGATGAATCTAGTTTCCTGCTCCATCTTGCAGATAGCAGGATCAGAATATGGTGCAAACAGCACGAATTCATGGACCCCCTCCTTCCAAATGACAACTCTTCAGGCTGGTGGCGATGGAATTATGGTGTGGAGTACACTAGGTCCCTTGATATTTGTGGACACATCTCTGAATAGAACAGCTTACTTCAACATCATTGCCGATCACGTACACTCGTTTATGACTAATATTCTCTGATGGAGATGGTCACTTTCAGCAGGATAATGCACCTTGTCACCGTGATCAATTGGTCTCAAATTGGTTTGAGGAACATCAATCATAGTTTAATCTATGGCCAGCTCAGTCCCCTGACCTCAATCCTACAGAGCATTTGTGAAACAAAGTCAAAAAATCTCTTAAAAGCTTGGGAACGCCAAGCTTTTAAGTGATTTTTTGACGGTTTGACGGCAGCTCTAAGTTGGGTCAGATTGGATGGGAACGCCATCCAATCTGACCCAACTTAGAGCTGCCATTATGTTAACATTGACCAACATTCCTCAGCAATGGTATCAGCAACTTGTTGAGTCCATACCAAGAAGAATATCGGCTGTGATCAGAGTTAAAGGTGGACCAACTTGTTATTAGACCGTGTGTGTAATTTTTTGGCCACTCAGTGTATAAAGTACATTAACCTAGAAAGTGGAAATATTGTCACTAAAAAAAATGAAAGCTCCCCTTATTCCAGTAAAATGAACTTACAGGAACTGGAAAAAATTCCTCAGTTCATTGAAGAACCAATCTGTATAACTAAATTATGTATAAAGATAAATAGAATATTTGTAATTTTGACCAAAAAATATTTTGTCTATATGAAAGGAGTTGCTTATCATTTCATACAGATATATTATTTTGTGAAATTTATTGTAGTTAATAGATGGAGGATGGAGAACAAGTACCAGCATTGGTTATAACAAACATTAGAAACTTTTAAATGATTTAATGCTTTAAATACTAATGATGTAGCTAACCTTTATACATCTGAAAATTTTTTACATATTTAATCAAATTATGGATTGTTGTTAATGAATATGTAATTGAGTTCCTGGTTCACAATTATTAAATTTTGAGTAAACCTACTGAATAATCTGTATTATTCTTAATGCTGTACAAATAATATTGAAGAAATGTATTGACTTTTAACACATAGATTCAATTAATATACATTCTTTAAACGAAAGGATATAACACTCTTACGATCACTGAAAATGATTTTTCTTAATTACAATGACATAAATCCTAAAAAAATTATTTTATAACTTTTTAAGTCATTAAGTTTTTTGAATTTTTCACAGTTGATTATACCACACCACAATTGAGAATACTCTGGTAGCATCAAAGACTTATTTTCATTTGTTGCACAGCAAAAGAATTAAACAGTCACACAGATTATAAAACAACATACGACAAACCGATTTTATTTTTGAAATATTATATTTTTTGTACGAGGAAAAACATTTTTCTCTCACACCACGTGTATGTTATGCTTTAAATGGCAAAAAAACAGATTCTTCAGGCGACGAGGATTAAACGTATCACATTGTTATTATATTGCAGTAAATGAATCGACTTACAAATATTTTTAGATAATATACCAGTAAAATCTATAAACAACCTATTCGAATATGCCAAAAAACATCTATATCCAGAAACCACCAAAATATTAAAATTTTAATTTCTACTTTTTTAAAATTTCATTTCGGTTACCTAGACGTAGAAATCCTTAACTTAAGTCGACACGCACGAGACGACCGTTTCGGAGGAGATTTCGATTTTCGACCGGGGACGACGGCGTAGATCCTTCCAAAACGACCGTCTGGCACGTGCAAACGAACGAGAGGAAAAACGTAACCCGAGGGTCTTTACCTGGGAAAGGCGTCGAAGAACCACGTCCTCTTCGTGTTGGGAAAGGCAACGCGCATCCCGGACATGAGGGGCGAGTGGAGGATGACGGCGCCCACTTCGTACCTGGAGGCCAGGTCCACGGTGGGCACGGTGCCGATGCTCTGCCCGTACAGGATGATGTTCTCCGGGCTGATGCCGTACCTCGTTCTCAGCGCGTGCCAGGCCGCGTCCACGTCGGCGTACAGGTTCTTCTCGGACGGCTTACCCGTGCTGATGCCGTAGCCGGAATAGTCGTAACTGAAGATGTTACAGTTAATCCTAGAGCCTAGACCCAAGTAGAAACTACTCATCTGGCCCAGATCGACGGCATTTCCGTGACTGAAAAGAATGGTAAACTTAGCATTAGGGCTGCATCTTACGTACATGCAAGAAATCCTGTTTCCTCTCGTAGTTCTAGTATAGAACACTTCTATGTCTTCGAGGTCCCTCTGGCTAAATTGCCATTCTGCTCTATCTGTCAGATTCAAAGTGAATTTCGTACCGGTATCGTCGGCTAAATAGGTATAAGTAGGTTCGGGAGGTATGAAGGCCAACTTGGCTGCGATTCTCGACGGAAAGGGCGGACAACAGAAAAGACAACAAAGTTCACTCAAAGATAAACCGTTCATTTCTCTGGGCATTTGAGGCTCTCTTAACGGCTTCTTTCCGAGTCGATAAGCGAAGATTCAGTCGTCATAATACTACCGATTTGCCAATATCTCCCATTAGACAACACTCGAAATTGTTACCCAACTACAAACAAAGAAAGATGCTCCAAACCAATCCATTCGGAAACCGTCCGCCATTGTACGCCGTGACGTCATCCAACGGAGGAAGAAACGGAGGATATTGCCCCAATTGACCCTAACAGTACACTGCTTTTTGCTTTTTACGCACAATTTTATTGGACGTCGACAGTTTTATTGTCTCTTCTGGATTTTTATTCGACGAAATCGCCGAAAGTCGAATTAGATTCGACTAGAATAAAGCTTTTCCGGAATTATATTTTTCCCCTTGACTTTAATTAAAGAAATTACACTAAATTGTTTGTAATTGCGATGAATATATTATTTATTTTAAATTTTAAATTATGTTCGGGCCAGAAAACAACTAAAAGAAAATACTTTTAATTTTATCCAGTTATCTTTCCGTCGCCATCTTGTCAGTTAAAAAGTAGCGATCGAATATTTATGTAACTCGGCGATACGAACTTAACCTAAAGAGAATAAAATTAAATTTTACGGAATAACACTGTATTTTCTGCAGTTTCTTATAAATATTTTAATGGGCAATTACTTTTTAAAATATTAATCGGAAACCAGTCGACAACTAGAAGGGGAAACAAAAATCCTTACGGATGGGTTGATTCGAATGTTTCGGGCCCATCATCATTTAGTCGTCCCCGTTAGGGGCCAACTAAGCCCGGAATTAAAAAGGCCTCTTAATGCCCTAAGAGAGAAAAGAGTTTTTAAAAAGCAGTTGGCGGGATCGTTTAAACATTTTAATTTTCATTATCGACTTCCTTGAACGGATATTGCAGAATAACATATAATACAAATTCTGTCGGTATTAATAAGAGCATTTTTATTTTGTAACAATGTCTGTAGGATGGAAAGTTTAATAAGTAATTGACACACAGACACATGGCGCAGACCCCACTTCCTTCAAACTAATACGAGTTGCACCCTCTTGTTTAGATCCCGAGTACGCCGCTGGTTCGAACACAGAAAGCTCTCGTTGCACTTTAGGAGTGTATAAAACATAGAGGTTTACCATAATATGTATACATAGGTACTGTCGAAAGAATAGTAATTAAGTTTACATCTATAAATTATTTATAGATGTAACATTAATTATGAAACGAACGTTAGAATCCGGGAAATTGTCTATTTAAAACGGCGTTAAATGACATTTAGAACATCAAATCGATCTACTCACATTTCCTTTCTCTCTCCCTAGTGTGAATATAAAATTTCTAATTACAGCAGTCCACGTTTATTACTATTATCGGTAAGGCCGGATGGCCGAGCGGTCAAGGTGGCAGCCTACCGCTCTGGGGGACCCGGGCTCCAGATTCAAATCCCCAGGAATTTTTCGGGGGTGGTCCGTTCGGATATGTCGGGCCCCGTCTCTCACCACCTGGCAGCCCCATTGTGGGCCTAGCCTAACCCATAATGGGCTTGCAAAAAGAGGCTCTCTTAGTGCCCACAGGGCGGAAAGAGTTAAAAAAAACTATTATCGGCATATTCCAAATTTCCAAATTCGTGTTTTAAATGATTGGACAACGTGTCTTACGAACCATTGTAATCGGAGTCCGGGCTGGACAGAAAATTAAGCCCGGGATAAAGCTACAATACATTCTCACAGTCAGTAAAAAGCTTCTATGCATACAAGATGTAAGTTTCAAAATTTTAATGCATGAAATATAAAAATTTTGTGGGCCACCACGGACAGTCGCAGTTGCCACATATTGCAGAATCCCGAGGAGGCAGCCATTTGTAAATTTGCGGGTATTTTTACTCGATCGAAGTTATGGACATTAACTCCAAAATTGTGGCCAACGTTTATCTTCTCGCTTCTTTTGTTTTCTGCAAAATCAGTCAACGAAAATGTGAAATTTTCTTTCTGAATTTCTTCATTTACATCTCTGTCTCGACCCATTCATTTCGCAAATGATTTTATAAATACAGTAGAGCGTCGATTATCCGAAAGTCAATCATCCGAAAGAATTCCAGTCGGCAAATTTAAATTTTCGTTAGTGCTGTGGCGCTGCAATCTTTGGCTATGTCTTGGGCTACTCAAATATTTTACGTTTTTGATACTAAATTAACTTTTGAAGTATAATTTTTTATTGTTTTTATATTTTTCAATATATTTATTTTGTTCATACAAAATAAAAAAATAAATTTTAACGATACAATAGTCTTCGTTAGGCTTAACATCGACGAAAATTCAGCGCGAAGCGACACGCAACGGAGAAAAATTTCAAGATGGGATAAATTAATATATTTTTTCGTACATAACCGGTTATCCGAAACACCGATCTTCCGAACAATCCCAGTCCCCAATTGATTCGGATAATCGATGCTCTACTGTAGTTGTTCCGGCGGGTCACAGTCGCGAGATTTCGTAACGATGCAATAAAGAACGAGGGAGAGACGAATACGGGATTCTTGCTATAAGAATTACATAGAATTCTAAAACATTAGTGTCGTGATTTATTAGTATATCATTATCTTGTATTAATTTAATTGTTTTAACGACGGCCCACCGGGAAAAGTCCGTCCAGTCCCATCCTTCTTCCCTCTTGTTATTTGGATGTTCGAGAAGGAGTTGGGTACGGGACGCGTGAAACGAATCATTTCGTCAGAAAAGTAAAATAAAAAGAGCGAATGAATTGTAAATGTTCGTTGTTCTTTGTCGTCTTTTCTTCGATCGCCTTCCTTCTGTTCTTTGCTGATCTTTTCTATTTTTCCTTCTGGTCTACTTTAAAAAGCAGGATTTCTTTCGGGAAGGCGTCCGGAGATTATTTACCGGAAATTGAAAAATACTTCTCGTTTAATCTAGCATAAGTTGTTGCGTAAAAGCATAAATATTTATTTTGCGTATTAATTGACCCACCATATACATTCATTACACTCTCAAAAATTTTTTTTACACTCTTTCCGCCCCGTGAACACTAAAAGGGCCTCTTTTAGCAAACCCATTATGGGTTCGGCCAGGTCCACAATAGGGCGGCCGGGTGGTGAGAAACGGGGCTCATCATATCCGAACGGACCACCCCCGAAAAATTCTCGGGGATTTTTCGACCCATCCGGATTCGACCCCGGGTCCCCCACAGCGGTAGGCCATCCGGACGGCAACACCCTCAAATAAAAAGAAAAAATATATATTTCGATTGCATTAAAATGTGTACGGAAGGCAAGGGCGATAAGGCATCCATAAGGGGAGAAGGTCCTCCATTTTGACAGGAGAATTTAGACTTCTGGCGACTCGAAAGTCGTTAAAAATGTGAAACGTGTGAAAGCAAAGACGGAGTAATTTATTATTTCGTATCGATTGTAACCGGTACTTTATATCGCGTCGACATTATTTTTGAAATTCATAATAGAGACGAGGGAGGCGCCTCTAAGATAATAAATTGAACCAAAAAGGATAATATCATTCTTTTATGCCATTGAAGAACCTTTAACCAAACAATCGGAAGCACGTGTTAAATGTGTTTAATTAAATAAATTTACTATAAATTATTAGAAAATACTTCGTAGCGAAATCTCAACGAACTAAGTTAATCCTATCCATGGTATGTTTGGACGGCCCACAATGGGCGTGGCCAAGTGGGCGGGGCGGAACTCGACGTATCCCAGACTTACCGTCCCAAATACTTTCTGGGACAGCTCATCCGAATCCAGAGGAACCCGTACATCGGGCAGTTGGGGCGCGTACCCCCTTTGTCGTCGTGTCGCCTTTTCTTAACTCCCGAGGGAGCTGTCAGGGTTCATTTTATTTTTAAATTAGTTACTCATTTTATCGCAGAAAACTTCTTATCGATGACAAAATAAAAATGAAAATATCTGTTATTAACCGAAAATTTGTTCCAGAGGGTGATGATTGTTCGATCGAGTACCGAGATACCACTGTAGTTGATTAACACGATTTTGAATATAGACGTTAGAATCGAAGGATTAATTAACTGCGTTTATCAAGGGTGACATGTATATATATATATGTCCATTTTTATAACTTGTGCCTCCCCTCATTTTATATTCTGCGGGCACTGATGCCTGGATCGTGGGCAGGTGCTTAAATCCTGGGTCATCCGAAATGTGGCAGGGGCGATGTCGACGCCAGCGCCGTTATTCTTACGACGAGTTTTGTTTTGAATCTGACGCGTCGTTGCCCAGAAAACGAATGAGTTACGGAACACGACTTTACATCCGACGACAATTGACGAAAGAACGTCGGAATTTGGACTGAGTCCAATAAACGCGACACACCGAAAAAGACAATACGTTTTCCTCGTTAGTCACAAACAGTTCGAACTTTAACGATACTGTACGTTATCGGTCGAATAATTGACGACGACAATTGTAAACCATCCGGTGATGTTGGTTCCACTAAAGGCTTATTTCCGGAAACGTGTGCAAAATGTCTTTTACCCGTAAGATCTTTGGATCGAATGAAATTAAATATTCGACGTTATGCCGGTGAGTTTTTCATAAATTTCGTCGTTAGAAGTAATTCGCCAATATATGACGTAACGAAGATGTTACGGGCCAAACTTTATACTTTTCCAAAGTATCGGAATATTCTCAAAGTACGTATCGCTTACGTATTGTCTATTCTATTATCATATATATATATTACTGACAAAGCGCGAAATTTGTGCGAGGTAAAAACATAGCTCGATTTATTAGGCAATCTATAAAAGAATTAATCGGGCCTCCTTCCCCCAAGGTTTCCATATCTGGTCTCGTCATTCATTTGTCTAACTCCGTTCTCCAGATGAAGGGAAGACGGACGAACGATAGTGTAAATTTATAGGTTTATAATTTTTTCAAATTGCAGTTCAAAAAGTTTGTTTTCCACTTTGCCTAGGCCTTCCACAAATTACCTAGGAATTCCATGAAATGCCTGTGATTTTTAGGTAAGGTACTGTACGTAAGAGAAAGGAAGACTGTATTTGACGGTCGGATAATCGAGCGCCGAAAATGTCGGCCTAACGCTCCTTTCGGTGGCGTCCCCATCGTGAGTCTGGCCCGATCCAAAGTGAGATTGCTAAAAATAGCCCCTCCTAGTGTCCAGAAAGCGGAAAGAACTAATAAAAGGCATGAGTAATAATATTGTAACATCCTATTTTTAATACGCGCAAGTAGAACACGGAGAAACACTAATCCTATCACTAATTGGGCTACAATTTGAAAAAATTGCATACCTATAAATTCCCACTG